CTACCAATCTCAGATGGTCTAGACCCTAGAACCATGGTTCTCAGACTTGAGCATGCACTGGAATACCAAGAGGGCTCTCAAAAACATGAATTACTGGATCCTACCTCAGAGTTTCTGATTCAGTAGGTCTGGGTGGGGCCTGAGAACCTGTACTTCTATCAAGTTCCCAAATGATGTTGGTGGTCACAGAAATACTCACTGAGAAACTTGGGCCAGAACTAGAAATGGAAGCAGTGACAGATTTTATTAATATTTTCTTGGGGTCCAAAATCACTGTGGATGGTGAATGTACCCATGAAATTAAAAGATGACTGTTGCTTGGAAGGCAAGCTATGACAAACCTAGACAGCATATTAAAAAGCAGAGATTTCACTTTGCCGACAAAGGTCTGTATACTCAAAAGTATAGTTTTCCCAATAGTCATGTACGGATGTGAGAGTTGGACTATGAAGAAGGCTGAGCACTGAAGAATTGATGCTTTTGAACTGTGGTATTGGAGAAGACTTTTGAGAGTCCCTTGGACTGCAAGGAGATCCAACCAGTCCATCCTAAAGGAGATTGGTCCTGAATATTCACTGGAAGGACTTATGCTGAAGCTGAAGCTTCAACCACCTCATGCAAAGGTTTAACTAACTAATGCAAAGAGCCAATTCACTGGAAAAGACCCTAATGTTGGGAAAGATTGAAGGCAAAAGGAGAAAGGGGTGGCAGAGGATGACATGGTTACATAGCATCTCTGACTCAATGGAATTTGAGCAAACTCCAGGAGAAAGTGGAGGACAGAGGAGCCTGGTGCAGTCCATGGGGTCACAAAGAGTCAGACACATCTTAGCAACTGGACAACAACAGGCAGCCAGACCTGGGTTTGAATGAACCACCTGTATGAAGTGAAAGACATGAATGAGTGTGCTTTGTTATGAAAATAGTGGGAAATTTGCCTCTCTCAGTTTTAGTGGTGATGGGAGAAGAAAAAAGGAAGAAAGAAGTCTCTGCTGAGATTTCCTAACCTTATGCATGCACTGACATGGGCTTAAAGACAAATAGCGAATGAAACAAAAAAGAAAACTTTAAGCCAAATATGTAGTTTAAGGTATTCCTAAATTGGCAGTATCTTCAGGCATCGCAGAAAACAAAGTACAAATAAATAAGCTTTTATTTCAACTTCAAAAAATTCCCACAAGAAAATCCAATGAACATGTCAATAAAAAAGACAAAATAAACAAGGAAATAACCACAGGCATGAGTCTACAGAAAACATAAACTGTAGAATTTGACAGAGGAGTGGAGATACTGAAATTTCAGATACAGATTATCTTAAAAGATACTTTCTGTGTTAACTAAATAAAGATTGACCAGGTATATTTAAAAATGAACCAAATAAAACTTAGAAGAAGGAAAACCATAATAACTGAAATGAGAAACTCAGCAAACAGTTAAACACCAGATTAAAGAAAGTTGAATAGAAATTAGGAAGTTGGATAACAAACTTGGAAAACAAACCATCAAGGAGAGACAGTGACACAGGAAGAAAAATGCAATGTAGGTTAAAAGTCATGAAGGGCAAAGAAAAAATAGAAAGTAGTGGAGACACTAACATTTGGTGAGATAATAGGTGAAAAATTTTCAGAACTAATGAAAGATGCCCATTTTCATGTCCAAGAAGCTCAGCAAATCATAAGAAGAATAACGAGAAACCCACACTGAGGCACATTGTAGTGAAACTGAGGAACACTAAAGCTAAAGAATAGACTGTCAAGATAGCTGGAAAGAAAATACAAGTAACCTAAAAATATACAATAATTAGACTGAGAAATGAATTCTTAACAACTACAGAATTGATAGGACTGTGGGAAAATATCTCTAAAACATTGCAAGAAAATCACCATCAACCTTGAGTTTTTACCCAGCAAAATCACCTTAAAAAAATGCAAAATAACATCTCTCAGACAGACAAACCCTGAGAGACTTTCACTAGACAATCTGCTTGTGAAAGATAGAGGAAAGAGTTGAGAAAAGCATGTTTTATTGAAGGTGCTGAGTTTTTTGTATTGATATTCTCTCAGGTAAACATTTTGTAAGAAATGAAACTAGACTAAATTATTGGGAGTTGGAACTGATGGAATGGGTATTAACCAGGGTTTTCTTCAAATAATTATGCCTATGATGTGCTGGTTTATGGATAGCATTACCATTTATATCAGATGCCAATTAGTGGTTTGAAATCACTAATCATTTCATTATTGGCATTGCATTGCAGTGGGTCAAATCAAAATATACTATGGTCCATGATATTTCAATCAGAATAATGAAAATAAAACTCTATATCCCAAAGTCCACAGTATAAAATATGCAAATAATTTTAGAAAATGTTTGATTTTTAAAATTTGATGTTTAATACTTTAGTTAAATATTTAAAGTTAAATACTTAAATATTTATAATATTCAGTCACTTAAAGCTGTAAAGATGGCAACATTTCTTCCTTCAACTAAATGAGTTCTAATTTCCAGAAGAGGGAAAGGGAAAAAGATTTGAGACACTGTGCTGCTTCCAGAAAGAAAAAAAAAAAAGATTCTGATATTAACAAACTGCATGGTCTTGGGCAAGATAAAGAACCATTTGCAGTCTATTTTAAAAACAGTTTTGTAGACAGAGAAAACTTGACCATATGTGCTCAAGATTCTTCTTCTGGATCAAAATATAGCTATGATGGTTTTATACGCTAGAAAATCCAGGTGAGTTTGTATTCTAACTCCACTCTGCCTGACCTGTGTTTATACTACGGGGTGAGCCAAGGTGAGCAGTAGTACCTGTCGGGGCTGGAAACAGAGCAAAGGTAGGAGAGAAGTGAGAGGAGGTCAAGCGATGGGGAGTAAAGCCGAGTGGTCTCTAAGAGAAAATGCCAGAAGCACATGTCACAGAGAGAGGAGCCAAAGAGAGCAAGTCTGAGGAACATCCCTACATATTCTACTGTGCAAGAGATCACTAGGATGGTTATGGAAAGAAATCTCAAGCAATTTATCTCAGGAGAAGGGCAAGAGGAGAAGGGGGTGACAGAGAGTAAGATGGCTGGACGGCATCATCGACGCAACGGCCATGAGTTTGAGCAAATCCAGGAGACAGTGAAGGACAGGGAAGCCTGGCGCGCTGCAGTCCACGGGGTCGCAAAGGGTCGGACACGACTGAGCAACAACAACAGGAGTAATTAATGATAGTATTTTTGAGACAAAAAAAATCAGTGAAAGCATTTTTCTGCATGTAGATTAAGGAATTCCACATGATAAGGAATGCATATATGTACAAATGATTCTGAAGTTTCAACAAATCAATGTAATCATCTACTTGGTCTGAATTTAACTAGGTAATTTTCTGAACTCAATAAAACCAACACAAGTTAATAGAAAAAAAAATTAGAGAGATGACCAAGTTGGAAAATGACTGATAACGCTAAAGCAGGAAGATCGCAGAGAAGGGTCATGACCCACATACACCTTCTACCCAGTCCCTTTGCATATTCAGCAGGAAAGAATGACTGGGACTCTGAATCATGGAAGGAAGTGAGGCATAGGCAACCACATAGCACCTGAATTCAGGACATGGTTCGTTTTGTCAAAATAGAAGCACTGACAAATAATGCATGCTCCCATCATGCAGCCATCTACCACGAGCACGTCAGATTCTGCCCCTCCCTCACTCCTTCCCCAGCAACGTTTGTATTTCTGAAGGCATTTTAGGAACAAAGGCACAATTCCCGTGACTCTGTAGAAGGACTAGCATGTACATTTCACCACGATGCTATGGACCGAATGGTCCTGGTAACAAATCCACAGGGACGGTGCTTTTGTGACTCAGAGCAGATTCTGGGATGATATATTTGGGCGAGGTAAAGATATATTATTTAGTCATATTAGGATTATGAGATGCTGCTCCTAAACAAAGCAAATTATTTAGCAAGTAAACAAGTTTTCACATATTTGCAGGAATAACTCAGAATTCCCCTGTCAATCAAGGCGACTGTTGCCCCCAAGTGACCCTCAGGCTCTGGAAAACCACCTCTGACCTGGGTCACACATGTGACAGGGATCTTTCAGTGACGGGGAGCTTCTCCAGGGAAAGGAAACTGCTGTTCTGCTTCTAATCCATCTCCCAATCATAGTCTTAAGAGATTATCCAGGGAATAACCTAATTCCAGTAGGAGGTGGAGCCCTGGCTACTCTCCCAATCAGGTATTAACAAAGCTTAACCACCTCCTGCCAGTTAGAGCTGCTGGCCTTCTTGGTTCTAAGTGTTCTTCAAATGATTCTAAGCTTTCCATGACCTTTCAATGAATTAGGACAATGTGTACCACATCACGGTCCTGCTTGTGATATGTACTAGAATAGCCATCACTAATGGAAAGCGGAGCTGTGCTAGGCACTTTATACCCACTATTTCTACTGTTACTCTCTCACTCTTCACCCAGTTACTGTGGATCATTTCTTCCAAAAATGGCCCCATTGGGCATTCCCACTCAATGCATAAAGGTGAAGATACATTGGTTTCCAGAAGGGAAAAGAACAGTAAAGACAGGAAATGTTTCTATCACCCATTCCTGAGGTTTTGTTCTGGATCCAAATGTATTCATAAGATAAAAAAAAAAAATGATCCCAATAAGACAATAGCTACCTTGCAACTCTTCACATAGAGATCTGGACCTTCACCCTTATGTGATTTCAGAACACCTAACTGGTAAGCAGTATCCACACTTTGCAGGAATGGAAAATACATTACACTTAGAAAATGATTTTTTTACATTTGGTCTTTACCTTAAAATGATTTAAACCTGAATCTGCTATTTCACTCTCACATTCAGGGGAGAAAGGATAAAGGATAAACAATTTCCCAGTGATTCTTGAACACTTAGAAATAACTGAATATGAGAGCATACACATAATTTACAAATTAAACAGAAGTTTCTTTTCATGGTGTATTTTTTTTTAAAGAGACAAAGAACTGGACTTACCCTCGCTGGAGTCTTTGGAGCCTTCTGGCTTCTTTGCTTGGCTCTTCTTGTGGGGCGGAGAGTGGTCTTTTGGCTCTAACCCCTCTGGAAGCACACAGATTTAGTACATTTTTATTTAAATATCTCCCACTAGGGGTTCAAAACCATCATGATGTTTAAAAATACATTTTTCTTACTAAATCCACACATACAGTGAAGCTTAATTGCAGGTTCACCTGACATTATGGCTGAGCTAAATTTTGGCAAAAACCTGGGCTTCTCCAATGAATGTGAACTTAATGACTTAGAGCTTAGGTATAAACATTTTTGTTGTTGTTGCCATCATTAATGATGCACATGAATATGATACCATGAGGGCATTTTTTTTAAATTAAAAAAATTCTCTATTAGGCAACTCCAAATTATTATGATTATTCTCTAGGAGAGTTTGATTTAAAACTTCATGGATTAACTGACAGTTGTCATTCTGCAATTTCATTTTAGCCCTCAAAGTATGTCTAGATGAGTTGTAAAGTCATCTCATTTGGGGGGAATGGGATGGGGCATGAAATTATCCTCCTTCTATTTAACAGATTTCTTCAGCAATCCAGATTCTAAACAATTTCCATATGCCCCTGATTAAATTCCTGTGTGCTTCCTGCTTTTCTCAGTGCTCCAAGCCAAGCCAAGAGCAATGCACTAGCCAAGGAGGCTAGTGACAAATTCTAAAGACAATTTTAGGAAAACTCTTTCAAATCCATCCCATTTGGACATGGGATACTTTGTTAAACATTATATCTGCAGCTCTGGCCTCTTTATTTCTCAAAGCTTATGTCTTCAATTGTTCACAGGCATCTTATTTTGGATTTCTTCCATTGGCCCCTCCAGATCCGCTTTCCACCCTTCCTCCCTCCTGCCCGCACTGCACTGGGCTTTGGGACACTGGTCTCTATGGACGACACCGATGCAGTCCCCTTCTCTCTGGCTTCCTATTATACGCAGCCAATGGGGAGCCCAGGGCATTTGTTTCCTAGGCTGCCGGTAGTCTTCAAGGACTAACTATCTTCCTAAATCTAAGGTCACAGTTCCTATCAACTGACCTTCTCCTCATGGCCCTCTTTGTCTTTGAGGTACTGAAACGACCAGCACCCTGTTGTCTTTTCAGGGCTGGGAAGTACCTATATTCCATTCTTCCTAACCCGAGTGATTCCCCTTTACTCAGCTCCCTTATATAAATAATCCCATGAGGCATTTCAAGCAACACAGCTGGAACAATACACTTGATGTCTGCAAATCTGTTCTCTCCACAGTGTTCCACATCTCAAGGGAGAGTGTGACTTATCTACCCAGGAATTTAAACCTCAAACTGAGATATTACCTTAATATTTTTCTTCAATCACTTCTCCAGTAAAGGAATTCCATCATAATGAGTCCTATGACCTCTGCTCCAAAATATATCCTATATTCATCTACTGTGCTCATTCTTTGCAACCACCACCCTAGTCCAAACCAGCAGCATCTTTTACCTGGGTTACTATGACAGCCTTCTGAATTCTAACTCCTAGCTTTCTCATCTTCCTATAATCTATTCTGCACATAGCAGCCAGATCTATCTTTATTTTTCTCTTTCTTTTAAAAAAATATTTTTTAAATTGAAGGATAATTGCTTTACAGAATTTTGTTGTTTTCTGTCAAACTTCAACACGAATCAGCCATAGGTATACATATATCCCCTTCCTTTTGAACTGCCTCCCATCTCACCAGATCACCCTGTTTGCTTATTTAAAAACCACTGTTCTTAGAATTAGATCTGAATCCAGTCTCATGGGCCAGGAGAACAAGTCACTTGGGTTCCACCTACCACACTAGCCCCGTCTCCCACTCGTCTTTATTAGCTCGACTTATTTCCGCCCTTCTATCATTTCTAGGCTGGTTCTTGCCTCAGGACTTTTACACCTGCTGTCCTTCCGTTTTCCTGACACACACATTCATATGCCCACCCCATTCCCATCTTTTAACATAGAATCACATTCAACTCCTAAGGAAGGCTTTTCCTGACTACTTAATCTGAAGGGTTGCAAGGAAGATCTGTCACAGACATATCACCTGGTGTAACTGAAATTGTCTCACTCCCTTGTTTATTTCTTTATTATATGTCTCCCTCCTAAACCACCCTCCACCTTGAGACTGTAGGTTCCATGAGAAAGGGCGTTTGTCTTTTGTAATCCTCTCTTGTGCCACTGGTGTCCAGCAGAGCCTTGAGAATTTCATTTCAAATTCTTTTTTATATCCCTGTTACCCAGGCCTTTCTTTGAGACCAAGACATAATGGGGTTTGTGCCTAATTCTCACTCTCTTAGCAACTCTTAGCTACGCCAGGACTCTGTAACTATACAATAGGGTTACAGTGGCTCATTTTTCTTTTCCCATTTATTATAAAAAGAAGAGAACAGAAAAATGCATTTGATAGATGCGCTATTAAAAACATTGGCATTATGGACTACAAAGGGGTTTGGGCACCAGGTGAGGCTTTCTGTGGTTGCAAGGCAGTCACATCCAAGGTCATTACCTCGACCAGGGTGAACAATGTTGCCAATGACTACATTAGCAACTCCCCCAAATTTCTGTCACCAGGTGTGGATGGATATTGACCTTTCAGAATGGGTTCAGCAAAAACAGAAATGAGATGCTTGAAACAGCTCACTAAGCACAGATGCTGGGTTCAAAAGCATTCATAAAATGAGCAGAGTACCACTTGCAATATCCCTGGGAGAAGCCTCTCACCCCTCCTTGTGCTGAAATGCATTGTTTGCAACTGGGACCAAGAGGAGAGTTTCCAGTGCTGGGAGTTCAGCTCCAAACCAGCATTTCCAGAAAGTGAGCTGAGAATTAAATTGTGAATTCATGACTACCCACCTAAATGGGACTTCTTGGGGAATGGGTGAGATTTAAAAAGACATCTCTGAGTCCACATTTTGAGCTATTTATAAACTGTAAAAGTACTAGTGCGTCCTTTTTGAAGAAGCTGTAGGGTACTCCTGGGGTGATCAGTGGGCATAGATGCATGTTAGTTATCAGCAGCCATCTATGACAGTGGTCCTCAGTTTTCTGGGGACCAGGAACTGGTTCCATGGAAGACAATTTTTCCACAGGCTTGGGGGGTGTATGGTTCAGGCATAATGTGTGCAATGGGGAGCAGAGAGGAAGCTTGTCTCCTTCCTCAGCTACTTACCTTCTGCCGTGAGGCTCAGTTCCGAACAGGGCACAGACTGGTACTGGTCCATGGCTCGGGGTGTGGGGACCTCTAGTCTATGACATAGTACTTCATAATACCCATGGAGACACTCAACTGAAAATCACTGCTACATATGGCCTCCGTGCTCTGGTTTTCCCTCTCCCTCTTAGCCTGGGAAAGCTAGAGGAACCTTCCCCAGGAGCACCCCTCGCGTCTCCCTAACACCGGAGCAGGCTGCCTCTGTCGCCTCTGTTTCCAGCAGAGGCTGGAACTCTGGGGTGTTGCCATAAGCACGGCTTTGTCTCTGAGGAACTCGACTGGGCTCTGGCTCTTGGGTGGCTGACCTGCTAGAGGTGGCTGCTGACTTTCTGTCCCTGGGGCTCAGGTTGGGGTCCATTTCAAGAGTGCATGGTCTTGGAAATGGAAGGACATGGGGAAATATTTACTATGCTAGGATTAAATGACTTAAACAGGATCCTAGGCATTTAAGTCAGTCTATTTCTACCACCTCGAAAAGGGGCAGAGCCTCTCTTAGGATGACTATCTGACACCATGTGATATTATTCCCCCTAAGCACTGGATAGTAACAGTCCCCATCTCTTTGAGCTGTTGCATATCCTAAGTGAGTTCATGTATGTTGAGCAATCAGCACAAGGAACAGCTCAATTAAATTCCTGCTCAGCAAAGGGATGCTAGGACTGGTCTGAGCTGAGCCAGCCTGCACTAGCTGGGTGGACTTCTCTTTCCTCCACCCCTACATTCATTGGCTAATGTTTGGCACCTTGAACAATACCATTTATACCAAAGAAATCTGCAAGCTCTCAAAATTGGGGCTCCCTTCCCCCCCAGAGAGTACATTTCCCAGCACCTCACTGGTTTTTGATATTCATATTATTGTTTACTATCATTTACTAGCATTTGTTGACTGGCTGATTCACACAAACAGGCCTTCACTAGCGTCAACTGCATTCTTAAAAATCCTTTCAGCACTACTTCATGTATGAGAAGAGGTTCACGGATCAGGGAAGGCTATCTGTTAAAGGTCTTAGGAGGCTCAATCAGACTCTTCTCAGACACCAGCACCCCGGAGCATGAGACTGAACAGAAGCAAGCCTGCTCACAAATATTTGGCAAGGCTAGCTGGCCCTTCATGAGCCCATCTTGCGCAAAGTCCCCCATGATTTCAGCACTCAGATATGAGTAACAAACAGCAGCTTCCCAAGCCCATTCTACCGGAGTGACTAAGTATCCTCGGGCCACTGAGTATGACATGAATGGCAGCATCCAGCTGCTAGAGATAAATCTCAGGAAATTTGGTGGGACTAATATCAGAAACGATGATCCACTTAAGGCCCCTGAACCCTTAATGCTGACTCCAACCTTGTGGGTTCTGCTTTAGTGTTAATGATTTCCTTGAACTCATTCTGTGGTTCAGATAGCTAGTTGCACCTTATTAAGAAGTCAGTCCCCTCTGCTTAGAAATGCGTACTTATATCACATTGGGCAAATGATCCTTAGCAAGATAAGGGCCTTAAACTATCTGGCTGAAAGGGCAGTGCTCCCCATGGATGAAGGATAGTCCAAGGACATCCAAGGATATTCCATGTGAAGTGCAAGCATTAATGCTAAATTCATGGAATTTAAGACAGGGTGAACAGCATGAAAAGGCATAAAGATAGGACACTGAAAGAGGAACTCTCCAGGTCAGTAGGTGCTCAATATGCTACTGGAGATCAGTGCGGAAATAACTCCAGAAAGAATGAAGAGACAGAGCCAAAGCAAAAATAACACCCAGTTGTGGATGTGACTGGTGATGGAATTAAAGTCCAATGCTGTAAAGAGCAATATTGCATAGGAACCTGGAATGTTAT